AGGGAACAAAGCTAAATTAAATAAATTAGAAAGAAAAATATGCCCTTTGCAAAGTTCTTGAAATGTTTTCTTGTTGCTGTTTAGCAATTTAACTTTCCATTACTGATTTTTAAAAATTATTTCCATGTCTTTATAAACATGCCTTGTGTTCATGGCAAGTTATTTAGAAAATAAAATATAAACAAAAAGAAGAAACTAAAAAATCACCTACAAGTCTTCTACGTAGAGGCCTCTGTTAAAATGTTGATATCTCCCCCTCCAGTATCTTTTTAAGGCATATAGATTTATGAGGCAGGAAAACATGCTGAGATATTAGTTTGAGTTGTCTGTGGGCCCTTATTGTGAAAACACCCCTGCTCTGAGGTAAGTCTGTTTTCCAAAACCTACAGAATGAAGAAAGAGCCTGGGAACAGTACAGCACCAGGTGTCTGACCAGTGGGGTCAGACCAAACCTGGGTTCAGCAACCTGGGTTCTGGCTAGGAAAGAATTCAGAGTCAAGATTCAAACTGTAAGAGAACATTTATTTGGTAAATCACAGAGGTAGAAGAAGTAATTCCTAGAAGAAATGGGCTTAGGAAACAAGTTATGGAGGTAATGGAAGGGCCCTTGGAGCTTGGGAGTGAGGGTAGGAAGGGGGGAAGGGAGAAAAAGGCTTGGGCGTGCTCCCAGGGTCCTCCGTCCTAAAGGTTTTAAGGGTGGAGATTTTAGGGGAGATCCCAGGGGAAGATCTCAGTAGAATATTCAGCAGTTTTTCAGCAGTTTCCTTTCAGAGTTGTAGTCTCCACTGATTGATTGGGCAGTACCAGGGCAGGGGGTCATTATTCAATGCTGCTGGAACTGAGGTCAGCCTTGGCTGGTATTGTTGCTTTTCTGGACCTAGAGCTAAAACACAATGGAAACATAGATGTTTCTAGGGAGGAAAGATCAGGGGGTCCAAACCTCATGACCAGCTATATGCTAGGGGAGGAAAAATCACCCTGGGAGTGAGGTCCCACCCTAAAATTGACTAGAGGCCCGATGCACGAATTCAGTGTATGTCATAGTAACTGGTTGACTGTCTGCCCCCCTGGTGGTCAGTGCACGTTATAACAAGGGGGTGAGCAGTCTTAGCATATCATTAGCATATTATGCTTTGATTGGTTGAATGGCCAACCAGACGACTGGACACTTAATATATTAGGCTTTTATTATATGGGACTAGAGGCTCGGTGCACAAATTTTGTGCACTGGGTGTGTGTAGGGGGTGGCGGGGGGGGGTGTCCCTCAGCCCAGCCTGTCCCCTCTCACATACTGGGAGCCCTCAGGCGTTGACCCCCATCACCCTCCAATTGCAGGATCGGCCCCTTGCCCAGGCCTGATGCCTCTGGCACAGGCATCAGGCCTGGGCAGGGGATCCTCATTTCCCCCCATCACTGGCTCTGCCCCCCACCCAGGCCTGATGCCTCTGGCCCAGGCGTCAGGGCTGGGCAGGGGACCCCCAGCCCCCTCCGATCGCTGGCTCTGCCCCTTGCCCAGGCCTGATGCCTCCGCCAGAGGCGTTGACCCCATCACCCTCCAATCGCAGGATCAGCCCCCTGCCCAGGCCTGACGCCTCTGACAGAGGGGACCCTCATTTCCCCCCATCACTGGTTCTGCCCCCAGCCCAGGCCTGATGCCTCTGGCCCAGGCATCAGGCCTGGGCAGGGGACCCCCAGACCCCTCCGATTGCTGGCTCTGCCCCT